AGTAAGTTATAGCTTTTATAGCTATTAATAATAAAAAGCTAATAAGCGCTTATAACTTTTTTTTATATACTTATTAAAGTGCTTTAACTACTACAGCTTAAGCTTATTTATTATCTAGCTATTCTTAGAGACTATAATAACTTAGTTTTAAAGCAGATTCTTTTTTTATACTAGGTAAAAAAGTAATAGTAGCTTTTAAAAATAATAAAAAGTAGAATAGCCTACTTTATTATATTAATGCTTTAGATAACTATTATCTACTTTTTATTACCTTACTATATTACTTTTAGCTATTTTTATTTCTTTAAAGCTGTAATAACTACTCTAGTTAATATCTAGCTTATTATAAAGCCTAACTTATTAAAGTTATACATGTTTTTATTCTAGATACTGTACTTAGCTTTTATGTTAGCTACTAGGCAAAACTAGCTTTAGATAACCTTTAAATTTTTATAAAGTGCTTTTTTATAATTATACTTATAATTAAACTTTATTATAAACTTAAAGCAGTGCTTAACTTACATACTAGGCTAGTTTAAGCTAACCTAGCCTAGATTACGCTCTGCGCGTAAGGAATTAGCTATATTAGCTACAGCTATAAGCCTAAAAAGAAATCTATGTGTAATAAGCTTAAGTATATACTTAATAACTACTTTTTTTAAGCTTAGTTAGATTTCTTAATTTAGGCTAGTATTCTACTTATAAAGGCTATCTAGCGTGTTAATTCCTTAGTGTTATGTAAAAAACATTATAAATAGCTACAGCATGTTATAAGGAAAGTTTTAAGTCTTATTTAAAAGCCTAAAAAGTAAGCTGTATTTAATATTTTTTAGAAGATTTAATCTAGTGTTGTTGTTAAGGCATTATGTAGATAGGTAGAGTGTGGTAGAGGCTTGGCAAAAGTAGCCAGCTAACCTGTGTGGCCGGCTAACCTGTTAGGTACGTTAGTCTAATTTAAAGTATTATTAGCAGAGCTTGCTCTGCTTATTATATTCGGGTTTGCAGAACGAAAAGTTGAGCAGAATCTCCTCTTTT